TTACAGAATAGCACTGCAGGTATGCAATGTTATTCCTACAACGACTTTTAATCCATCCATATCCATATGCCTATAAAGTCACATTGTCTATTTAATCTTTTCCGTTTGTTTTTATTATAGCATTATATATATATATATATATATATATATATATATATATATACTAACGCTTATAATAATCATAATCAAAATCATTTATTCAGTTTAGGTGCACTCATGAATGTCTAGAAGCTACGCCATCGGTTCGTAAATCTACGGCGGGAGACCTTGTACTGAGAAGAACCGGCAAGAAACTCAGCAAGGGCTGCTTTTTTCTCCCTGTTTTATTATTTACAGAGTCGTCAAATTGAAAAATGACTTCAGAGGTGATTCATGAAGTCACTTTTCATTACATAATTAATTATTAAATATACATTAATTGTTTACCTGCATTTTGATTGCTGTGTCATACAGTATAAATACAAATGGTGTTATTTATATTAAGTGTGACTTAATTATTAAGGAAGTTAGGGCAGACTCATCTCCGCTGGCAGCACCCGTTCACGAGTATGACGCATGAACCAGCCATCGCTTCGCTCAACCATATTATAGGGAACGTAACGACCCGCCTCACACGACACCGCCGAAGAGACTATTATGAGAGCATGACTACCCATAACTACCCATACTAACTACAACATATTTACTTAAATTAAGGTCATTTACCTGTAAGACACAACAAACAATTACAAAAACAAAGCAAAGGAGAAATCATGACCACGCCGTTTTGTCAATCAAATATTCTTAAACAGTCTGATAATCTTCCTTAAGTTATCAACTTTATATACAGCTTTCAATTTAATTATAGTATTGTCAACACTTAATTCATAATTTAAATCATATAGAAATACCCGTTGGAATGGTTGGAACAGTTCATTTCCAAGCATTTTTGTCTGTAATATAATCAGATACTTTATAATATGCTTTCTTAACTAGTGATTTTTAATGGTCGATTAAATTTAGTCATGCTTAACTCTTGAATATTGCTTGGAACTTTATTGTAAAAGCGAACACTAAGACCTCTAAACGAATTATTTATTTTGTGAAGCCTAGTAGCAGGTAAAGTTAAGTTATTTTTATTTCTAGTATTATGTGTATGTATTTATAGTATTTTTAGTAAACAAATTAATATTTTTTTTACAAATACTAAATTGTCATATATGTATTGTGATGCAACTGTCAATATACCTATTTCTTTAAACTTATCTCTTAATGAATCCTTAACTTTAAGATTATAAATTGATCGAATAGCCCTCTTCTGCAGCACAAATATAGTTTGAATGTCGGCGGCATTTCCCCACAGTAAAATACAGTAAGACATTACACTATGAAAATAAATAAAGTAGACCAATCTGGCAGTTTCTATATCCGTTAACTGCCGTATTTTCATTACAGCATATGCTGCAGAACTAAGTCTCTTCGACAATCCATCAATATGTGGGCCCCACTGCAGCTTAGAATCTAGTGTGATTCCTAAGAACACTGAGGTATCTACAGAGCTCATATGTCGATCCTTTATATTTACATTAGTTTTTACCTGTTTGACATTAGGTAATACAAATTTCAAATACATAGTTTTCCCTTCATTTAGCATCAAATTATTAACATTGAACCAGTGGACTACCTTCGAAATAGACCTGTTCACGTCATCAATTTGTGACTCCCTACGTTTAATTTTAAACAAAAGTGAAGTGTCATCCGCAAACAATACTATTTCGTGGTTATCCTTTACAAAATAGGGCAAGTCATTGATATAAATTAAAAATAAGAAAGGACCAAGGATTGAGCCCTGCGGAACTCCCATCGTAACTGACGAACCAGGAGATTTTACTCCATTGATGTCAACCCTCTAAACCCTATCACTTAAATAAGATACAATACAGATACTATGGATTTAGAGATACCACTCTGGATCAGAGTGGTATCTCTAAATCCATAGTGGTGAAGTTTCCTGATCAGTCGCAAAATACACCTAATGCATCTTGCGAGTTCTCCCAGGCATCAAAAATTTGCTGTACAAACTCAACACCGGCATCGGTTGTTGAGCCACCCCTTGTGAAACCAAATTGTTTACTATGAAGAATGTTATTACTATAAAAATATGATTGCATTTGATCTAGCATAATCTTTTCAAAAATCTTACTAAAGGTGGGTAACACGGATATAGGTCTAAAGTTTGTGGGGTCAGATGTGCTACCCGATTTATGTAATGGAGTTATTTTACTGTGTTTCATTAGATCAGGAAAAACACCACAGTCAACACATTGATTAAAAATGCTAGCTAGAATAGGAGCTATTGTCTCAATTACTGATACAGAAACATCCACGGAGTTACCCCACAGATCCGCAGTTTTCTTTTTATTTAATTGGTTGAAATATTTTATTACATCTTTACAGTTAATATACTTAAATTTAAATTGAGTAGTATATTGTTTTGTGTGTTCTTTTAATATTGATTTAGCAGCAATGGGGGAGGAGTTCAAAGATTTTGTAGTTGAAACTGAAATATCAGTGAAAAAGTTCTCAAATGCTGTAGTAACTTCAACATCTGATGTAACATTTTTATGTTCAATGTTTAAATTAAAACTAGTATTTCGAATTTTAGATTTTCCAGTTTCGATGTTTATAATGTTCTAAGTCATTTTGATTTTGTCATTACTATTCTTAATCTTACTACTTTAATAATTTGATTTTGCTGTACGACATACTTTTTTAAATAACTTTGAATAATTACGTACGTACTCTTTGAAACTTTCACTAGTATTAATGCTGCGTTCATTGTAAAGTTCATAAAGTTTCCTTTTACTTTTATGTATGCCTGGGGTGGCCCACTCGCTGAAAGTTACTGCATCACTGCATCATCAACATAGCGTTAGTGAAGTCTAGTCGCAAAAATAGCTAAGCTATCCTCATTGTGCTGGTCTGAACTTTATTTCTATTACGCCCTTATTATTAACGCCCTCAACGGGGCACACTAACAAACGGACCTCACTCCTAGCCTCTCGCAAGTCTCACGGGTGCGAAGCGGAGAAGCCGTTAAGCAGTCAGCGCGGCTTACGAGAGCCTACGACATACTATCCGCTAAAAAGCCCTCGAATACCCTGTACGCTGTTAAGTGCAAAACCGCGAGATCTCCATTGAGGGACTTCACCGCACTCGCACCCAACAGCCTCCCGGCCTAGGGTCTCCAAGCAGGGATCATCCAGGGTATTTCGGGTGATCCTGCAGGAGGGCGCAGGAGTGTCCGCGCTGAGAGCTAAGTGCGCGGCCTGTTGCCCACCGCACTGCTCGTCGTCCGCTTTTTTTTTTAGTGTTTATGCTGTAGGTCACAGATGACCTTTACAGCATCACCGGGTTTGGGGACGGCGAGATCCTAAGGGGACCTCAAGCCGATAATTGGCGAGTGGGCAGAGGTATTCCAAGCGGATGGCATCTCCCCACGGGGGGAGGGAGTGCACTCGAACCTGAGGGGGTCGGCTCAACTAGAGAGAGACTCGGACCTCGGCTCTAGTTAGCCATTGTCGGGGGGTATGGGGAAAAACGCCCAGGTACCTGTACCTGGTATAGCGCATCATGTGTAGCACACGGGCACGGGCGTAAAAAAAGGGACATGAGACGCGGGCACGATGCAGAGCACGTCAGCACAGCGTGGCGGCTAGCGACTACGAAAGCGAATAAACTATTCTCTCCGTCCGCTGCTTGGTGGGCTGAGCATAATCCCCTATCCGGTGGCGTGGAGCCATTAGGTTGACGACCTCCGTGGCTCTAGTGGTATATACCTGCCGAGTTTGAAGGAGTCACGTACTCAGAGGTCTCGGGATATATGTATAACCATATGTAAGTATTCTACCTGTTACCCTAGTATTCCTTACAGTGCTCACTTTGAGCACAATTTTGGGCTATACTAAATGGTGTGAGTGTAAGAAATATGAATTTATTTTAACTGGAATGGTCTTTGCAAAAGTGCAAAACATTATTTTTCCTATTTATTCTCATTATGAAAACTTCAAATACTTTAAAAGGAGACAACTTTTTCTGAATTGTAATTTAGTTAAAACAAATAGTACCTATCTGCCAACTTCAAATTGAACTTTTATTTCTTTTTGGAGGTGAATTACTATTAAAATGATTCGAGACTGACGGCGCGACGATTCTGTTTTATACATACCTGTTTGTAAGACGCAACCAAAGAAAATGAAACAATAATAGGTAACAGATTGTTTATTTATAGCCAGCCAAGAAATACAGCTGCGATCTCTCCGAATCTGTAAAACAAAGCATCGGAAATCTGAATACGTTTTGAAGATGCTAAATTGAAAATAACGAAACGTAAAATTAAATATAGACGTAAAATGTACGTTTTAAGTTCGTTTCGATTGAAAGCAAAGAGAGCTGTAGGAAGCTTTTTAATAGTAGGAGGCCCGAGCGAGTTTTTTAGGATTTACTCGAGCGCGGCATGACATAACCTTTATGGGGCAAACGCCTGGGGCAGCAAATACAATTTTTAACAAACTGTCATAATTTTTGGTTTTTTGACCTTTTTTGCGCATATTTTGATTTGTGAAATGAATCGAGTAATTTCCATTCAAAGTAAATTACAGCACAAGTACTATGAGCCCACTTTATGTAACCGTGACCCACGGACCCCACTTACTTGATTCAGCACGATTCATACTAAAAGGTCGTATCAGACATCAACTCTGAATGGGATCTTTACCGTATCAGTTCGAGCTGTTCAGTATTCTTCGTATGAATCTCCCTACTGCAAAGCACACTAATCGGAATCGTACCGTAATCACCTGGCTTCGGGACAATATCTTGTCTCGCTCTAAGCTTCGATCATTGCTTATCACATTAATAACTTCATTAAGATTAAATTTCTAACCATTTATAATATTTATTATTATTGTCCTTGGGCTCGGTAGATAAAAGATATAATAAACACTTTTTTTTATTTACAGAAGCGGGGAGCCAGTGAGCCGAGGCAGAGTTGAGCAGAGCCCACTTTACGTACAGAAGGAATTCGTGGTAAAATTATGATATTACCTTTATAAATACTAGTATTAAATTAACTACGAAAACCGCCGGTTATGTACCAATTGATGAATGTTAAATAAGCCAATATGACTCAAAATCCCATTTTTTTAGGGTTCCGTACCTCAAAAGGAAAACATGGAACCCTTATAGGATCACTTTGTTGTCCATCCGTCCGTACGTCCGTCTGTCAAGACCGTTTTTCTCAGGAACGCCTGGAGGTATCAAACTGAAATTCTAATACTCAGGGGAACACTTCACCTGTCCCTTGGAGCTGTGAAAAATCAAACTTCTAAGCCAAAGCAATCAAAAGATACAGCCAATATGTCGCAAATATCCGCAAATTTTCGAAACTCGCACGGGAATCAAAGTCTACAGTGTACTTCCCGTGAACTTAGAATCTTGAAATTTGGCACGAAGTAACGTCTTATAGTACAGATAAAGGAAAAATTGCGAAAACCGTATTTTTTTTTATTACATCATATAATAAAAAATATTTGTTAACAATTATTAAAATATACCTACAGGTTTGTACGGAACCCTCTCGGTGCGCGAGTCCAACTCGAACTTGGCCGTTTTTTTTGTTTCCTCTACGGCGGGGGCAAAGATGTGAAAGCGTCATGAATACGTAGGGTATTTTATTTGTAGCCGTTTACTGGGTTATGTCAAACTACTACTGACTAAAACACACCCGTGGTGGGACATCTAAGGGCTTTATAGTCTTCAGCTGATGCCAATAACTCCTGAGAAGAGGATGATTCAGCACTACCTTAATTAATACTACAGCGTAATGAGCTAGAGGATGGGTGCATTTAGATGTTTAGTAATTGAGCAGAGCCGCAGTAAAATGACATCTATTATATATCATACACCCTACCCTGATCTTAAGTGTAGGTATGTGGAATCCAACCGCGATGATAGCTTAAGCGACAGACAGGTAAGCCGTTACAGCCATCATTATCATCATAATACATGTAAAAGATTGTTTAATTTTAGATAGTAAATAATTTGAGTATGAACAAATAGTAAACAATGTATGTAACGTTCTTAGAGAATGATTGTGCGGTCTCTATAAGAGCTGCCTATTTTCACGCAGCCTTGCCTTGAACCCAACCAGGAGCGTATTAACCCTAGGACCAAATAATCCATGGCCCGGGCTGGCAGGCTGCGAGGGTCGGATGCAGGAGCTGTGAAGGATGGCAGAAGCTATACACGGGCATTCGTCAGTGACCCATATTTGAATTTGATTTACTAATTCTAAGGGGGACGCAAATCGTAAATGGACTGTGGTGCCAGATTTTTAAATACGCCCCTGCCACTAAAAGATCTTGTAGTTTTAACATTTCTGTAAACCTATACTGTTAATAGACATAAATCAACTAGCTGTTTAGAAATATAATCCGTTATAATTTATTGTGAGACCAGTGGGATTGTTTTGGAATTAAGTTGGAAAGTATTGAGTTGGAAATAGGATTAATTTTAACGGAACATGAAGAGTGACAGTGTGAAAATATGTGTGACTTTAGACATATATCAAACCATAATCTCGTACAGCTGAAGCCCGAATCCAATTACTTTCCACATCCAGTTTTGTCAATATTCACCTTTCATTCTATGTATTGTACTCAAATTGTACTTGATATACACTTATATATGTGAATATTTATTTTTATTTGTCCTTGGATTATGAATTTGGCCTTTCTTATCCATAATAAATAATTTATTCGTAGAACTAATATTGTCATTGATGGGGCACAGACCTTCGCTATGAACAGAATACGGTGAACGATATATAACGCGGACCTTTTCCGTATAACCACAAGTATAATAGCCTCAAGAACTGATTAGTGATTAACGGCCAATTTTGGGTAATCAATCTGAATAAAATGTCACAGCTTTTCCTGGAGTTTAATTATTGAAAGTAGTTTTTTTGCGCCCGATGGCATATCAACTGCAGCACCAGCTATCTTCGCGTCTGGACTTTGCCACCACTTAACATCAAGTGGGGTAGAGTGATTTGCCTACCTAGCTAATAAATAAATTGCACCCTCCGTAAACCAGGGGTTGGAAATTACTCAATGCCAGTGGCGTAGCATAGGTCACTAGCACCCGGTGCGGATTCCAAATTTGCCGCCCTCTTATTTTTGCAATCCATTATAAAAAAATTGAGGCATGGTAAAAAGAGTACTTTTATTGAATAACACTAACCTAAGAGCGAAATTAACATTTTTTGACATAGAGTAGAAGGTAGACTATCACAATATCACTTAGAAAAATTACACAGAAAACGTAATACAATAATTCCTAAATAATAGTTATTGAGAAACCTTGCGCTTGCATCACCCATGCATAGAACCTGCATAGGTACCTGGGTATTTGGTAACAACAACAAAAAAATGACGAAAAAAAAACTGAAAGAAATTAACTTTTTTTTTATATTTTAATTTTTTTTCTCTATCTGCCACCTCCGCGGCGCCGCCCCCGGCAAAGTGCCGCCCGGTGAGGACCGCACCCACCGCCCCCCCATGCTACGCCACTGCTCTATGCTCCAAACCAGCAGTAGGGTTATATCAGAGCCTTACTGACTGAAAACCATATGAGGAAGCCTCTTGCCGGGAAGGCTTTTAAGTCGACATCAGAAGCGATCATCTCTTGGAATCAAATCACTCATCAAAATTGAAAGTGACCTTCTTGAAACGGGCTTCTTAAGATTTGCACCCCCCTCCCATAAAACAAGTACTTAAAACAACCCAATAATGACGTATGTTCTCTATATCATAATTTATGATTATTAAAAAGATTCCATAGACGTTTTTTATTTGTTTTAGGAATAAAAATAGTATTGAATGCCCAACCTGCCGCGATCCTTTTGGTCTTAGAGCAAATACGCCCCTGGCCAATAGTTGTAATTTTATAAAGTTTGTATTTGTTAATATCCGACTACTTTCTCATGTGCAGGGCCTGGTAGACCCCAACGACGAGTGGGAAGTGAGCCGGAGTCGTGTTCACTTGGGCGCGCTCATCGGCAGCGGCGCGTTCGGGCGGGTGCACGCCGCTCAGCTCGAGATGCCGGGCGGGGAGACCATCACTGTTGCCGCTAAAATGCTAACTGGTACTTACCTAGCGTAAAGATTTTGTATCTAGAGCGTGCGTTTAAAACTTTAAGGCGGTTGTGAAGCGAGCAGAGCGCGCAAGTTTGCGCAGGCAGTTCAGCTAAATCCCGCGCGCGCCCATAAATATAAGTCTACATTTCGTTTACTGCGCCACGACTTACGCTAGCTCCATAGATGTAGTGAGTAGGAGTCGCGTTTACTTGGGCACGCTCATCGGCAGCAGCGCGTTCAGGCGGATGCACGCCGCTCAGCTCGAGAGAAGGCGGGGGAGACCATCACTGTCGCCACTAAAATGCACATTATGGGTCTCACAAACAGAGACATCCTGCAGCCGCGGTTAACCCTTATTGGTCGAATGTGTTTGAACCCACACTTTCATTGCAAGTGAATAAAACTGGCCGCCATCCCGGCCGCGGTCCCAGGCCGCGTCTGTCTGTGAGACACTTTAAGCGGCAAAAAATAAGTCTAAACATGCCCTTTTTAACTTGTTTACACGATCCTGTTTTGTTTGTTTGTCACTAAAAAAGTCAATGGTAATAGGCTATTAGGGACTAGACGGCCACGCCCAAAGCCAGGCGCAGAAGCTACGGTTGGGATGGGGCAACGTTTGCGGCCACGAACACGACCGACCATAAAGCGGCCATATTGCTAGGCGCTTCTGTATCAAAATTCATTGCAGGAAAAACGTCGTTATATTGATTTGTGAAATGATACGAAGCTTTGATAGTTTTTTGCTAAATACTGAGTCATTCCATTTTCAGATTAATGATGTAAGTAATGTGAAGGTTGTTACCCGATGCTATCACATGAAGTATTTCTTAATGATTTGTAATCCACGTTGTTGATTGAATGCTGCAGATCTCATCAGACGATTCTACTCGGTAACCCAAATAGTTTTTGTCTAGTTGACAAGCTACAGGGCTGCCAAAGCAAGAATTCGCAGTTTTTAAAAATATATACTTAAGTCACAGGAATGAACTTTATGGTGTGTAATTTAGAAGTAATAATAATAATAATATATTTTATTGGCTTGAACAATAATGTGATCTTAAACTAATGACCAGCATCTCCTTTTAAGCTTAAATAGCCTGTGTCAGGAGATACTGCTCTTCTTTAAAATAGATAGTATAACATTCCAATAAATTCCAACAAACTATGACCAAGATGTAATTAGTTTAGAAGTTAGGTGTTTATGCCTACGTAAGTGTAAATGTGGGTGTGAGTGTATCTGTGTGTGAAATTGTATGAGCGTGTAGGTGTAGTGTGTGTGCATGTCTTAGTGTGTATAAGAATACTAGACTCTGTCTAATAATATCTCGATTTCATCATATGTTTTGAAGTAATTCCATTTTCACGGAATTATGTATACATCTATTTATTTTTTCAATCAGTCTTAACATAATTTACTATTGGGGTCCAGCCGGCCGTTACGCACCCATTCCACGACGCCCCCGGCCAGGACGCACCCACAGTAAAAAAATTATTATGTCGCTACGCCGCCGGCCGGGACGTCTAGATTTTATCATTTAATACCTTAAATTTCATTTAAAATGAGCGAATTGTAAAAAGATATTGTGGGAACCCTCAACTAACTGCACATCTGTGACCAAATCTTGTTCGCTTAGATGTTTTACCAAACATGTAGGAGATAATTAATACAAATAAGATCGTGTCAATTGATTGGACTAAATAGTATTTGTGAACTTGTTCTGTTCTTGATTTGGAACTGTTGACTGTGGCAAAAACCTGGAAAAAATGGGGTTTACTCTATACTCAGTCCTAAATTGCATACAATAACGAGCGTTTTATAATTTGAATACAATCGCTATAGGTATTGTCGTCGATACCGGCATGATTCTCTAAACCTAAACTTAAATTTGACAACTGTGTATTCTGTAAAGAGAATGAAAAAGAGAGGCTGATCTTAAATTTAGTTTTAAGTTTAAATAATCATGCCAGAATCGCACAATAGTCGAACAAAGCAATTTCGAAAAAAAAAACACAATTTAAGCTGCTGCTCTATCTCTAAGCTGAGTATGGACGGACGGATATAACGACACTTTAGGGGCGCGTACTTGTACAAAACATGGAGTATCTAATCCAACCGTAGTCTTCGTTTATTAATAAGGGGGCAAATGTTTCGGCATATTATAAAGTGGCAAGACAATTTACATTTCGTTTGTAAAATGCGGAATCATACAAATTGCCTGCGACATGTACACCACAACCGGGATTCGAACTCAATACTACTGGCCGAGAAAGAAGGGTTGCTACCGTTACACCATATCCCGACTGTTGCTAGATAGTCAATGGAAAATTAATTACGATTATTTAGGTCGTCTTTGAAAATTAATTACTATTAATTAGGTCGTCTTATCAAGAATGAGATCTCTTATGACCACCGAAGCTGAAACGGGCCTAAGAGGACCATGTAGAACCAGCAAAGTTTTAGTAAACAGAACATAGACACTAGAACAACACAGACATGTCGACTTTTAATATCGTTTGTTATGTCCGGAATAAAATGAAATTAGTTGTTTACGGAATGTTTTAATATCTTTATTAACAGCCGCACTGAAAAAAATCAATTGACTTGTAAGTTTGATCGAAGATGGTGCTGTCACTTTCTTTGTGATAGCAAAAGAATGAGTAAGGAGCGGTTTTTTTAGATATTTTGAGCATATAGAGGATGAATTTAAATTCAATCAATCACTTGGGGAAATCATTGTTATAAAACATTACAATACTTCACTCTGTCCGTGATTACCGACGTTTTTGGAGCCGATGTTATTTTTACGGTGCCATCTGGCGGTAAGGTACTCTGTGTATAGAGTATAACCACAGTCTATTCTTCTCTTCTCTAGTCTATTTTTGGTAAAACTTTAATTTACTAATACGACTATACAATGCTTCAAAAGGATGAATAATAATCCCCCTGTCTGTTACAGACGATGCTTCAGAAGAGGAGATGCAAGACTTCTTGGGCGAGATCGTGATGTTGAAACATGTCGGTTCCCACAAACATGTCATCCGCCTGATCGCATGTTGCACGACACAGGCTCCTCTGATAGCCTTGCTGGAGCATGCTCCGCGAGGCGACTTGCTCACTCTCCTCCGTACCACTAGAGGGAGAAGGAAAGTGGAACAAACTTCGTGCGATACAAGGACGTTCAACAGCGACGCTAACGGACGGCCTTCTGAAGCGGACAGTGAGTTTTGTTTTTTCGTCTGTTTTTTTATTGTCGCATACTGCACGACCCAGGCTCTTCTGATAGCCTTACTGATGCATGCCCCGCGAGGCAACTTGCTCACTCTCCTCCTTACCGCTAGAGGGAGAAGGAAAGTGGAACAACCTTCGTGCGAAACAAGAATGTTCAACAGCGACAGACAGTGAGTTCTGTTTTTTTTATTGTCATGCTGCACGACCCAGGCTCTTCTGATAATCTTGCGGGAGCACGCTCCTTGAGGCGACTTGCTCACTCTTCTCCGTACCGCTAGAGGAAGAAAGAATATGGAACAAACTTCATGCGAAACAAGGATGTTCAACAGCGACGCTACCGGACGGCCTTCTGAAGCGGTGAGTTCAGTTTTTTCGTTCTATGTTTTATTGGTGCATGCTGCACGACCCAGGCTCTTCTGATAGCCTTGCTGGAGCATGCTCCTCGAGGCGACTTGCTCACTCTTCTCCGTACCGCTAGAGGGAGAAGGAAAGTGGAACTACCTTCATGCGAAACAAGGCTGTTCAACAGCGACGCTAACGGACGGCCTTCTGAAGCGGATAGTGAGTTCAGTTTTTTCGTTCTGTTTTTTATTGTCGCATGCTGCACAACCCAGGCTCTTCTGATTGCCTTGCTGGAGTATGCCCCGCAAGGCGACTTGCTCACTCTCCTCCATACCGCTAGAGGGAGAAGGAAAGTGGAACAAACTTCGTGCGAAACAAGGATGTTCAACAGCGGCGCTAACGGACGGCCTTCTGAAGCGGACTGTGAGTTCTGTGTTTTCGTTCTGTTTTTTCGTTTTGTTTTTTTTTATTGTCGCATGCTGTATGACCCAGGCCCCTCTGATAGTCTTGCTGGAGCATGCTCCGCTGGGCGGCTTGCTCACTGCCCTCCGTACCGCCAAAGGGAGAAAGAAAGTGGAACCACCTTCGTGACAAGGATGTTCAACAACGACGCTAACGGACCTTCAGAAGCGGATAGTGAGTTCATAGGCTCAAGCACGGACTTTGACAGCTCCGTAATCGTACCTATCGCATCGTCAAAGTTACTATGAAAATCAAGCAACGCCTCTACCGAATGTAAGTACAAACTGGCTTGGATACTTCAAACTTCGTGTTTGGGCCTCGACTTTTTGCGTTCCTATAAAAGGTTATGTTAAATGTAAGTGGAATCCTATACAAAAATGCCTGAAACGACAAAAAAAGTGCTGCTTTGACCACTCTCATCTTATTGGACAGAACCTACTGTTATCATTCGTCAGGATTAATTCGGACATGTTCAGACTTTTACTCTTTTGCCCGGCTTTTATATTTTGTCCTATAATTTATAGTACCTATCTATATGCATATTGAAAAGAACATAAGCAATGTCAAATGAATATTTATTTTAAAATTAATTTTAAAAATTCATGCAAATGTATTTTGTGACTAGGGGGACTTTTAGGTATGCAGTCTGGGATTTTGTCAGGTTTTTCAAATTTCCTTATTGGTACATACTGAAACTGATTACCTATTTTTTCGATCACGGGGAGAAATGTTTGCATTCACGTCAATGACCAACGCTGCGTTGGTTTGCTATCAGCGTGGTGCATTTGGCAAGCGGCGAGCAGCCCGAGAGCCGCTAGTCGGTGCACGTCAAAGTACGAGTATACCCACTTTGACATGCACTCACGCAAGCGTGGCATACGCCCAACCACCCCGCCTCCGAGCGGCACCCCGATCCGCACCCGCTTTAGCCGATCGTGGGCCGTGGGCCTCTCCGTTTACAGCGTCACCTGACTAGTCTCACGGACCACTGTCCGAGCGGCTAGCCAGCCGACCAGCTCCCGTACCTACCAAGTAAACCAACTCCCCGATGTACCCGTCACCCTCCAGGCATAACTGCGGGATCCAGTTATGAGTCACCGCTTGAAACTAATTACCCTAGCATAACGCTAACTGAACCCGATTCCCCTACAACCTGGAGTATAATGTTTACCAGTACCCATCTATCAGATGAAGGTTGACAGGTTTAAATTCGAACGAAAAAGTCAGTTGTGACCACAGACATAGATCGAATGAGATAACGCCAGTGTCTGTACATCGCGTGCCAAAAGGGAGACCAAGGGGTCATCGTTTTACGCTAATTGATTTCTTCGTGTCACCATTCTCGATGACGAACGTAATTTTTTTTAAAATATCTAACTATGTCATTTTAATCTGTAAAAACGATATAATTGAATTAGCTTTTTCACCACTTAGGTATTTGTTTTCGTGAGCACCTACTCAAAATCTGACACGCTCAGTTTCCATTTAAAGTACATGCGGCTTCTACTTTTATCTAGGTCTGTGATACTCGTTTTATAGTAGTAAATTACTAACCTACATATTTCCTAAGTCCTGCCATACACTTAAATAAGCTCACTTGTAAATAATCTCTTTATAAAGAAATAATGGTAAATATTTATGGAGTACTTTTAATAGATGGGAAAATAGAAATTTCATTTAAGGGAAAATTGTAGCTGTAGATTATAACACGCCTCAGTTACGAGTAGATCTACCATAATCGGTTTAAAATTAATACAGTTCTTTACTTACCTCTTTTGTTCTGTTGATTAAGTAAATTTGTTTACAACTTGTGCTTATGTAATCAATCTGGCTAAAAAGTACTATTGAACAAATTGATTCCTGAACCACTTACACGCTAATTCGCTTAAAATGACACTTCAAATATGAAATAAATAACAAGTTTGTTTCAATGGAGATGCATATTTAAGCAAAACTCTTATTGTTTTGCAATGGTTGGTGGCAAGAAAATAAGCTTATGGTAGGTCAAGAATCTAATTGGCTGACAGTATTAATTCCCTACCTACCTATATAATCGAAATGTTTATTTTTTGTACTTATATTTATGACTACGCAATAACATATCACTTCATCTTTTGCTATTCTAATATATCAGGTGTTTGATTGAAGAACTAACTTTAAATTATTATCTGTTTATTATAATACCCAGAAAACCTTGGTTAGCTAAATTCCGCGACTTTCCCAGGCGGGTCATTACAACTATTAGTCGTCTTCGTCTCGGCCACGTTACCTCGCCAGTCTTTCTTTCCAAATTACGTATACTAGACAGCTCCATTTTGAGTGCGGACTCGAGGAAAGCACTGTAGACCACATTTTTTTCAACTGTCAAAAACACCCATCTCTATATTCTCTACTTCCACCCAAAACTGTACGTCCCGTTAACATTAATACAATTCTAACATTGACCGACAACCCTGGCTTTTTGTGTTTATGTAAATTCATAAAAAAATACAATATTAAACTCTAACTTTTATTAACCTTTCTATTTTTATTTGGATATAAATGTCGGCTCTACCCATGTCATATAAATGAATATTGTTTAACCTGTGACGTCTTTGTGTTTGTTTGTTGTGTTGTGCTTTCAGAAAAGTGAAATACTCAAGGAAGAACGTATAATCGGTTATTTAAATCACCTTAATCTGTTTCTACCGAGCAGTCTTTCTCGTGTCTCTCTCACTACCTACTGGACATTGGCGAAATTTCTGTGTAAAAAGGGAGAAAGCCATAGAAAGAAGAAAAAAAACTGTTTATTAAAAAAATCTTAAATATATTAGGGACGGGATTCGAATCCGCATCTTCCACAATCCGGACCGTGATTTATTATAGTAAATTTTTCTTTATTTTATATATTTTTACTAATAAGTCGTTTTTATTATAAGCATAAGCTTGATTTAAAACTTATTTATGACTTCTAAAAATAACCTTATAGCTTTCCCCGTGTGTGTTGACACGCAGGCAATTTTACATTGATTCCCTGTGTATTACACACGCTACCATTTTGAACATCAAGGATTGGACGTAAAATTGGAAACATAGGTTGAGAAGAGTGTTATAAAAGCGCTGAATTTAAACGCGCTTAGAAAAACCGCTCTTACGAGTTATCCCTACCTGTTTAATTGCAGCTGTTTACACAAACTTGAGCGACTCGGACCCTGCTCTGTCGGAGAGCAAGCTGTGTGCCGACGGCAGCGACCGTCTGAAGACCAACGACCACTACGTGGCCGAGCCGGCTCTGCAACTGGACAGCACCACCATGCGGGAGTATGCGCTGCAAGTCGCCTTGGGCATGCAGCACTTAGAAGCGCGAGGGATCACGCACAGGTTGGTGTTTTATATAATTTAGTTACAGCGGTTTGAACCAGGGCTTGAAACCGTTTACAAAAATACCGGTAAATAAAGGTTAATACCGGTTTTTAGTAAAGGTTTCGTTCGGAGCGCGTCCGAAATGAAAGCGGTACCTAAAACCTTAACAAACCGGTTTAATCCAGAGCAACACGTGCACGCGTCGGCATCGCTTGAAGTTTTTTCGATTGAACTAGTCACAACTTGTTAATGCTCAGAGATTGATGCATTTATTGACAGGTTTGCTAGCTTCTAGTGAGTCAAGTTATTCATTTTGTAGTTGTGTATTTATTTCAGCCGTCAGTAAGAGCGAAATGAAACCCTTTAAAACCGTTAAATTGATTCAAAACCTATTTGATTTCGCTTTTTAGGAAAACCGGTTTTTTAAGGTTAAGGTAGAACCAAAGGAAACGCTCCTAATGTACTTGACACTGATTTAGGTTTGAAAATTAACCGGTAAACAGGCCCTGGTTTACACAACTTGTGCAACTCTATTTCTAGGATTTTCACTAAAATTCGATTTATCAAATCATCCTACGACATAGACAAAGCTACTGTGCCATACATGTGTGCGGTGCTGTGTTTTATTACGTATACAATTCACTTTGATTTTTTGATTTCATTGGACTGAAAACAAAGGTCTTTCAAAGATTCATGATCCATATTAAAACAGTTATCTTGTTATCTAAGTGCAATTACGCATTCTCTACAGACGAGAAATTGTCTAGAGAACTTCTCTAAGAATCATTTTTTTTCTACAGCGAAAGCGGTTTTGTTGATAGGCTATATAATGAAGACGAATAGTTAAACCGAAGTGACGGTGACCGACAACGCGACGCGACGGGACGACTCGCGAACTCAAACACAGTACATCCTTGACCTGACCCAATCCAGGACTCGTAATCCAGGGACAACGATTCCGGTGTCGGCGCCGCGGTGTGCCGAGAAAACCCCGCCGTTTTCCGGGAAACGCCTTCCAGCCCTCTCGAAATTTTCCTGGGATCGCCCTCGCTCAGTTACCCTGAAATTTTCCCCGAAACGGGACGCCCCAGCCAGCCGGCCGCCCGCGCCAGCTCGAGTTATATTTAATTTAACAGGGCTGTGCCTCCAGGTGCCTAGATTTCGGGGTAACCAGGCTGTTTACCTCTTTTTCGGACTGTCCCCTTTTTTTCCAACTAAAGTTTGCTTATGCGAAGTTTTAGTATCGCAGTGAATTTTAGTTCGATATTCGCTATGACTTAAATTATTTTGTTTTCTAGGAAAACAATTTATGCAATTAAGTTCAGTTTAACCGGCATAATTTTAGAAAAATAATCTCTATCTTATTAATAAAACTAAGTCCCTGGCCCTGCCTGTCTGTCTTTGTATACGCAGTAATCATAAAAACTACTGAACGATTTTTGTGCGCTTTTCACCATGAGTTAGAGATTTTTCATGGAACTTTTATATGTATAAAATATACTATAGTTTACACCGAAGCGAAGTGAGGGTAGCAGGTCACCAGTATTAATATAAGTGTGATGATCTGTCTGTTACGTTTTAAACCTATATCATAAAAGCTTTAATATCGGTAATTTTATTACACAAATATTAAATACCTATGTAAAGTCAACCCATAAGTTTTTAGAGAAATAAAATTTAAAAGGAATTTTAAATACCAGGCGCAGACGAAATATATTGATACATATATAAATATTTATATAGAAATACATATTAAATATCGATTCGAACACGGGACCTATAAGGGGAGAATGTATATTCTATTTTGTGTTATATATTTTATATGTGTTGTTTAACATCAGCACACTTTATTAAAATCATAATTTCGGTTAAAATATTACCCTATAAATACCACAGTTCATTATGCGTTTGAGAACATTAGCAGTATTTGTCACAGTAAAACTCATGAAGTGTACGCACTCAATTCATATAAACTACGTACGAATTCAAACAGAAACATATGTAAAACAAGTTTTAAGCTATTGTATAGCTTTTATCGCGGGCTTTGAGCGCGGCGACCGAATCAAGAAATACCGTAACGAAAAAAACCTTACGAGAGTGCATATACCAATACACAATTTTCGTCACTTCAGTATCGATCTAAACGGCGCAGGGGGTTGAATTTTTGCCACGGGACCAACGTTCGACGCATCACCACGGTCGTCGGTTCAAATCCCGCACTCGTATTTTTTATTTTATTTTATTATATTTTTCCTTTTTTTATATATTTGTTTTAGACCCCAGCACCTGTTCTTATTTTTATTTGTCTCCCTTTTATTTAGACTTTATAATTATAATTTAAATTTTCGGACTAAAGATGGTAAACTGTGGAGCTTGTGGAAGTTTTTGGCGCCAGGCAATGCTGTTGTTTGCTGTGCTTGCCCAATAAAATATCATGCCTGCCTAGCCATCTATTAATATCAGAGAAAAAACGAATTAATATCAAAGAAAAAAAATACTGCATGAATAAAATTAATAAATAATTAAAATTGCATAAGTTGATAAAAAATGCTATGCAATAGCTTTACCGCGGCAGTCCCCGAGTGCCACACGTTTTCTTTTTTTTTCAGGAACTCACTCACTGCCGTTTTTGTCACAAAGCTTGGTCACACGAATTGTTCGGTAAATAATTTTGATAGACCCCTGCGAGCTTTCCCGTGTAAGCTTCTAACGGAATTTTTAAATAAGCTCAACAAATCCCACGGTGCTTGATATGAAATCTCATAGGCATGACAATATGTAGGTAAAGAAAAATTTAAATATAATTTTCCGTGTTTCATATTCTGCTAAGATGCTGGTAACACTGAGTAATTTACAACTTTGTATTGCCGTATGGGGGGATTCCCGGCGTATTCTGTCTTTTTTTTATTTATGAGGAAATTTTGAAGGGTATAAAGGTATAAGTATGACATTTATATATTTATAAGTAAGGTTTTTGGAGGCAAATATTCAAATATAAGGAATATAGGCTATTTTTTTTAACTGAAAAATCTCTAAGATATAAACAATTCAATACATGAAAGATGTTACGGGAACCTTCTTGACCTTTTTTTACCTCTGTCGCGTATTATGGTGTATTAGTTTTTATATAACACCCATGTGCTCTTATATGCTGAGCTGTGGTTAGGATGGGAAAAAATTCAAATAGCCATCTGGCAGCACTTTCGATTATCTCTGCGGAAATGTTCTTTTTAACGATGTCATTTTTTTTCGTAACCTGGCGTGCGTTGTTCTTTTCTAAAATAGTTAGGTTAGGTTAGGCGTATCGTACCCCGGAAGAAATGGTGCGGATCCGGCGGCAGGCAGAAGAAACCCTGAGGGAGGCCTGGAAGCTCCGGCTGGAAAATCCCAGATGGGGCGTCCGGACCATAGAGGCGATCCACCCTGTTCTCGAGGGGTGGGTAGGCCGGTAACAGGGTCGCTGACCTTTAGACTTGTGCAGGTACTGTCTGGACACGGGTGCTTCGGGTGCAGTACCTGCATCGGATTAAGAGGGAGGTAACTCCATCATGCCACGAGTGCGGGGCTGCGGTGGACACGGCTCAACACATCCTCGAGGAGTGTCCAATGTGGTCGTTGCAGCGTCGCGCTCTGATTGCGATAGTGGGAGGGAACCTCTCACTATGCTTGGTAGTGACAGGTCCTGGCAGGCGGTGGTTTCCTTCTGCGAGGAAGTCATGTCGCAGAAGGAGGCTGCTGAGAGAGTCCGTGAGGAACAATCCCACGCGGGCTCTCTCCGACGTAGAAGGGTAAGGGGTAGGAGAAGGCGTGTTGACCCTCTCTTAGTTTTACCCGACGGAGGCCAGCTGGGTCCAGACTTGGGAGGTCTGGGCCCTGCATTGCACAGGCCTTTGTCGTTAAATGGGGATGCCCCTAATGCCCCGGGGCATCCCCACGATGGACGGGTCCGTTTGAACCGGACACTCACTGGCGGGGTTGCGGAAGCATCCGTAAGGGTTCCGGTGGCCTCGTCCAGTGCCGTTACCTCGCCGGGCAGGGTGCCGCCAGATGACGGTTCTCCTGCCCGACGTGGCCACGGCCCAGCGGTGAGGTGAGGGGCACCGTCAGGTTTTTAGTGGGTAGGGCCCCCTTCCTCTTGGGCAGCCGTTGAGCCAGCCCTCGGACTGGCTGAACGGGTGGGCGAGAGGAGGAGGGGAGGAGTCCTACATAACCTCACCGCACTCCCAAGGTGGTGAGGTATGCGTAACGCATTTTCCTGATGATAAAAAAAAAAGGCGTATCGTAGGTATCCTGGCGTGCGTCGTTCTGTTCTAAAATAGTTAGGTAACTACCTAGCAAAAAGAAAACGCCACAAGAAGCGAGCAACGACGATTTGTAGCGTGTGGCGGCCACCGGCGTACCGTGTGTGACGTGTCCATATAAAATGTATGAAATCTACAAGAAATTTGGCGGTGGAGACGTTTTGTGGTTGTGATCGGTGGCCCGTGTGCCGCGACATAAAGTAGTAGCTCTGCGAGAGTTGCGCATTATCTGAGTGAAAAACCAAGGCATTTTCATATACTATACTTATTATTACTTATTGAGATCTCATTTGTCGTTAGAATTCCATGGACGTTGCTCCTTGGTTGGTTGCTCTCTATTCAACTCCCCCAAAGTTTGAGGAAAACAAACTTTGAAATACAATTTTCCTAGTCACTGTTCTATGATCTTCTAATGGAGTAAGCGTGAGTTGCTTTAACTTACTTTCACTTAAACTGTTCAGATAGGTAATAAATACTAATTAATATTTTATTTTTAAAGCATGTAACTGCTTGATGTTTAAATCTAAATAAATCTTATCTAGAAAAAAATAAACGGACCAGGCAGCAGACGAGTCCGCGTGGATTTTTTTCTAGTCATAATTTTATTTAGAATCATTTTAATTATTTGGATGAATTGTTTTTATTTCATTTGTTGGA